ATGAGCCCATGAAGGGCAGAGGTCAAGTGATATTTACCTCCATCATCCCAGTGCCAGGCATCTAGTCAGACCTGTGTCTCTACCATGGCTACCTAAGCATGAAGCCAACTGAGAGGAAAATCAGAGATGGAGTAAGATCCCAGAGTTTGAGTACCTGGATCCATCTATATCTGAAGCCATCCCAACCCGTGGGCTAGATTACCACCATCAAAAGGAGATACCATGAAACTCTAGGCTGACTGCCATCAAGAAAATAAGATCATGCTTCTCTTCACAAACTGTAGTAATGTGTGTCCACATGGGTGTCCTACAAAATTTAAATGTCACCAATAGTGATGGAGAGCTTCCAGCCCCACTTCCCCTTCCTGAGCCACAGCACCACTGTTACTCACACCGAATCCAGGCGGTGCTCACAGAGCTCCTGGACACCCCGTGCACTGCCAGCTGACCTTCAGCCTCATTGCCACCACTGGCCTCAGGGACCACTGGGACCAATCTCATCACGGCCCAGGTCCCCATGTGCCCTGTCATCCCTCACTCCTAGCCACTTTCCCCTCAGGACTCTTCCATCCGTTAAGTTGGTCAAAACTCCAACTCCCCCTGCTCCCACAATCCTGGCCCTGCATCCACCTGCAATCTATGTCCGATCAGAAGAATCCCCATATTCTCAACCTCCTCTCTTCTTAATCACATGAAAACCTAGCCCTCCCCGGGGACACCCCCAGCCCTACAGCCTCTCACACGGGGTGCTTCATGCCCTCACCCAATCTCCCTGCCCCTCACTGCTGCTCATGTCCCCACCTCTTCGCTAACTCCCTGCCTCCAAAACTCACCCCCCATTCTGTCCACATTCCCTCCCCACACACACTCCCTTATTCTCTGAAGAGTTTAGCCCTAGCCTGCTTCATCCTTCTTCCAGGTCATCCCATGGTCATCCCATGGTCATCCTTGGAGATTTCAAATCAGGCAGACAGTCCCCCTCCAGCACCTGGCCTTAACCCCTCACTCCCAAGACCTTGAATCTAGCCAGCACGTACCCAAGCTGCCTCTGACTGTTAAATATTGAAATACTGTTGTACTCATCATTTCTAAATCCAAGGAAGAGGACAAGAGGCAAAAGGGGGCTCTGGGGTCAGACAACAGAGCTCTGGGGGCAGAGAACAGAGCTGCTGGCTTGACCATCTCTTCCCCTCTCCCTGCAAGGACAGGTCAAATACTAAGCTCAGTTCTTAGGCCCTGAATTTTAGCAAACTGAGGCCCAGTCCAGGCTCATATGGCCCCACAGTGGTGGGCAAGGGTGCAGGAATGGACAGAAGAAGTGGAACCTTCATTTGGCCCCTGTGGTGTTGCTGGGCTTAGGTGACCACTGCCCAGAAGGGTGCTCCTCCTGACACTTCTGCCCCCCCACTGGCTCTCCCCACACAGACATGCCATCCTGTTCTAGGACCGGACCCCTGGGGCTGTGGTTCTGAGGGGTGCAGGCTCTATTTCACAGGCCCAACTGGACAGATGAGGACAAGTTAGGAAACGCCGTGTGCGCTGACACCACGAAGCTTCTCTTCCACCAGAGAAGATGCATCTGGTGCGGCTCACTGTGTCAGATCATAGCAAGACAGGACCGTCATTTAGCTTGTGACAGCCTCATCAGCAAAAGATCACACCAATAATTTCTAAAAGCCAGCCAATGATTTGGGGCCTATTAGAATAATTTGATGAATTGCTTACACTTCAATTTGTAACTGGGTACAAATTGAAAGTTTCTTAATATATACTTGATGTATACAGAAAATAAGAGGGAATGTTTTCATTTTTATTAATTTGCATGATCTTTCTGGTTGCCAAATGCTTTGAGTATCATCCCTACCTCCATCTGGGCCACCCATGTTTCTGCTCTTACCCTTGACCTAGGCATTGCCAATAAGCACACCCCTCCACTATCTGACTTTCATCCCCCTCTCTGACCACCATGGCCCATCCTTCTAGCTCTCATTCTCCTCAGCCCCTGATTCTCTGACCGCCCCCTAAGGCTTCTGCTGCATTGACTGACCACACACACAAACACACACACACACACACACACAAACACACACACACACACACACACACACACACACACACACACACACACACACACACAGCAGCCAGCTCCAGCCAGCCAGTTGCAGACGCCCCATAGTTCCTTGCAGGAGGGCAGACGGAGGTAGGAGGAGACAACAAAGGATGTGGTGGGAGCTCAGATAGCAAGAGTAGCAAGTGCAAAAGTCCTGTGGTAGAAGGGAGTGTGGTAGACAAAAGGCCCGATTCACAGAGAGGGAGGAGGTAGGTGGGAAGCAAAGTCAGAGACAGCAAGTGGGTCCAGCCTTGTCAAGCTTCTCCCTGAGAGCACTGGGCAATGGCGTGTGTTTTAAACTGGAGGCATGAGGTCAGATTTGTATGTTTCAAGGCTTGTGATGACTCTGTAGGGAAAGAAAAGACTGGGTGCAAATGCAGAAGTGAGGAGACTAGGTGTTATCCCGGGACTAAGAACAGTGGTGGTGCTATCCGTGAGCAACCACAGAGGGAAGTGAAAAAAGTACAGAGGAGCTAACACAGGCAGATACAGTGACAGATGGGAGTGGCTGGGCAGTGAGGAGGAGCAGAGGTTGGGATGCGCTCCCAACCCATCATGCTCACATGAGGGAGCTCTGGAGAGGCTCGTGGGAACCTCCTGATGCCCAGGCTTGAGGGAGAACATGAGTTCAGGTTCAGCTCTGTGGAGTGCATGGTCGTTTGTGGCACCCAGAGGAGAGGGTGGATGCTCACACTTCACCTGGCCTCTTCCCACAGGCATCTCCTGGGTCCTTCCTCTGTGTCCACTCTGTCCTAGGAGCCACTTGATCCAAGCCTGAGTGAAGCACAGGCTTGTGGGAGAAGTCAGGTGCAGGGAGAAGGTGTGGGTATGGCCCAGAGGAAACAAGGACCCTTGGGTGAGAGCCCTTGGTTCTGGGTCCAGCTTTGTCCCTCAACTTGGTAGGCCCCATGAGCACATCAGTGCCACTCTCAGAGAGTCATCTCCTGCTCCACTGATTCCTTATAAAGACACCTGTCCCTGATCTGGCACTTACAAAGAATTTGTCAGAGTGAATGGAAAGAAAGTGAAAGTGCTTCACAAAGTGACTTTTGACTACACTGATTTGTCGTTTTAACAACGGGAGATTTTTCATCTTCTTAGCGCTGGTGGGAAGACTTTTCTCATAGAGAAGGAAGAGCAGATTTGTGGCTGGATACAGGGGAGAAAGGACTTGGTGGGGGTAGCCAGGTGCTGTCAGTGCCCCCAAATGCAGGTGGGTGGAGTGAGTGAGAAGAGGGGGAGCCCAAACTCTAAGAGAAAAGACCTGCTCCATGGGTCCATTTTGACCCTACAAAGCTTCAGTGAGGTGACCAGAAGTCCCAATCAGCTGTGGAGAGTTAGTTGTGTTTCTTGAAGACGTAAAGCCAGTGAGTTTGGAACAGGGACAGTCTATGAATGAAAGCCAGGGAGTTTCATAGCATGCATCCCATAATAATACTAGAAACACCTAGGACGCCATGTCTGTCTATGGTATATAATTATTTCTGTGATTTGTACAGAAGGTACAGAAGATGCATCCTTTAGCTAAAATGCTTGGCACCAAAAGGGTTTTAGATTTCAGACTTTTGGGGACTTTGGAATATTTTCATATACATATTGAGAGATCTTGGAAAAAGGACCCAAATCTAAACGCAAAATTTGTGTCATATGCATCTCAGACGCATAGCCTGGAAGCCACTTAATATTCTAGGCATTTGACTAGCATTTGACTGTGGTCCTTCTGCTGTTGTCAGATGTGGAATTTTTTCCACTTGTGATCTTGTGTTGACACTCAGAAAGTTTTGTATTTTGGAGCATTTCAGTTTTGAATTTTTGGATTAGGGATGTAGCCATACCTTAAAATTAACAAATGTTATCTTTGGTAAGTAGTAAAATCTACTCTTGCTTTTCAAGATACAGAATCTCATGCCTATAAGCAAGTAAATTGCTAACAAGTGCTGAGGACTGAACTAATTAGGGAATACTACCTACTGTCACAAAAAAAGTCCCAAATGTTAGTGGCTGAACACAGTCAAGTTCATTTCTCCCTCGTATCAGTCTCTAAGGGTGAAGTGCACCAAGCAGCATTCTTAGCACCTGCCTGAGGGGGAAACTGAGTCAATTCAAGGAAGCTAAAATGGACCAGGTTGACTGACCACAGAACCTGCTTTGATCCAGCATGGGCTGGATTCTTTTCCCACTCAGAGAAAATTAACTTTGCTGTGGGCACAATGATGCATGAAGCCAACAAAAACATGGCTGTCCTGAAGTGGACCCCGGTGACTGCAAATTGATTGCGTTCTTCACTTTGTATGAAAGCTGACTGCCTCATAGTTGGCTCACTCACTCAGTGAACATTGGGGGGGGGCAGGTCAGGCCTTATGCTTGCAGCGTGAGCCTAGGCTCATTCTCATCTCAGCAATCCTGGCGGAAGTGTCTGGAGACAAAAGGCCTTAGTTTGACCCTGGATTGCATCATTTCCTAACCACAGCCTCCCTGAGCTGCAGTTCTAGAATTTGGTAATGGGCCCAGGCCTCCCCTGTGAACTCCATCCTGGGGTTTCTCAGAGCTGTGAGGGCTCAGGAAAGTGAATTTCACTTACTGCAGATGGGAATGTGTCTCGCAGGCTCTGCCAAGGGCTGTGGGGATGTCTGTCTGTCGCCTCAGTCTGGGGTCTGCCTTCGGGAAAGCAATCTGCAGCCCCCTCACTTGCACGGCACAGGGTGACTCCTTGCCAAGCTCTGAGTGAGCGCCCAGAATCAAACACCTGGTGTCATAAGCTGACACCAGGGACAGGGACGGAAGGCAGAGTTTTGAAGTCTGCGCTCCAGATCCTCTCCCTAGGACTGTGAAGTGTGTGTTTGATCCTCAGGGCAGATGTGCGAACAGACAGAGTGATGCTTTCCTTCAGAACCAGGGAGAGGACCTAGTGAGCTGCAGAAGGGCAGGAGGGAGATCAGGAAGAGCAGGTGGGCCCTGCAAACTACCCCGGCTCATGCGCTCCTTCTTGTTTGTCTTATAGGGAACTTCAAAGGTCTGTGCAAGCAAATTGATCACTTCCCAGAGGACGCGGACTACGAGGCCGACACAGCAGAATATTTCCTCCGTGAGTCACACAATTTTTTTAATCTCCCTCCAGGCTGTGGGTCCTGTGCTTTGATCCTTCAGAAAGCCAAAGGTCAGGGCTATCTAGAGCCTCAGTCACAGCAGAGGGCCGGAGAAGGATGCACCTCCTCGCTCCTTGCCTCCTTTGCGCTCACTGTGCCCTCTGCCTGCCACCCCCTGTCCTCCCCCACTCATCCTCCAGGTCACCGCTGGAATAGCATTCCTCCAGAAAGCCCCCTTTCCTGTTGCACAGGTTTCCAGACACAGTACTTAGTCCCTGTCTGTTAGAGTGAGTGACCAGCCTCCCTCTCTGCGGGCAGAGACTCTCCATTCTTGTCCTCCGTTACCAGTGCAGGGAACAAAATAAGAATTCAGTAAATAGTCCTTGAATGACCGAATGCAGAAACCCATCAGGCTATGCCAGATTGGAACTTCTACTGAAAAGAGAAAGATTCTTTTTTCTTCCACCTCAAGTCAAGTCAAAGTTAAATCCTAATGTGACAGCTGGGATCTTATAGCCACCTGAGACATGATCAAGAGAAAGCTTTTGAGGCACCCAGGGAATTTCTCAAGCATCAGCAGAAACTCACAAAGCTGCCTGCTCCCCAAGAAAGGGATTTCCCAGAGAGGGCCTGAGAGTCCTTGAGGCCCAGACAGCAAAGCTTATGGCTCTCAGGCCACCTCTTACCAGCCAGGTTTGCTGAGTCCCGGAGTGTGGTTCCCTGCCTCGGCTCTCTCCCCAGTTGTCTCCTCCTCCCCTCCCCAACAGAAGAGTGACTACCGTCACCCTGACCACATTTATGAAAAATGTAGAAGGCTTTTTATTGTATGGATCGCCCCTGTCTCTTTCAATAATTACTCTTCACATAGCCCTCAGGTCAGCCAGAATCTGGTTTCAATGAGAACCCACAGAACAGAGTCAGCCAGGCGGCTGGTAGGGGAGAGAAAGGGACACAATCAATTTATAGATTTTTTAAAAAAAAAAAAGAGGAAAAACTATCATAGCCAGCTCGTCACTTCCTTTTCTGTCCATTTAAGACATTGTTCTTGAATGGAATTCCCAAAGGGCCAATTGGTTACCCATTTCCTCCTCTTAGTGCAGGAGCCTGATGGTACAATATACTTGAATTAAACACCTGCTCTATGCTAGGCCCTGTGCTCAGTGCTGGGGAAGCCAAGATGGACAGGCAAGGCAGTCCCTGGCCCCAAGAAGAGCACATCTAAAAGAGAGGGTGCTCGGAGAAGTAGCTGGACTTGGAGGCACAGCATGGCAGAGATGAGGCCTGGGTACAAAGGTGGAAGGGGGCAGGCAAGACACAGCCCCCACTCTGGGCGCCACAGTGCTGGGCCCGGATCTCACTTGGTCAAGCACAGTGATAACATGACCGGCCAAGTGGTGAGGGTCTTAGAGTAGGACATTTATCTCGCTCATTACAGTACCCAGAATACAGTAAGTGCTCCATATGTGCTTCTTAAATAAAGGATATAGGATTCTTCCATGGCCACACTGTACCTCAGTTTCCGTGTTGTTAAAGAGCAGAGAGCTTGGTGTGGATCATTATGGAGTCTCTGAACAGTGGGCTAGCCTTAGTAGTGTCCATCTCCCAAGGTCTGATCCAGGTTGATGGAACCCAGTAATACTTCTAGAGCATTTATAACAAGGTTCAGCAAACTTTTTCTGGAAAGAGTGAGATAGTAAATATTTTAGGCTTTTCAAGCCTTGGTCTCTGTCCCAGCTACTCAACTGTGCACAAAAGCCGCCACAGACACCACAGACTCACAGGCGGGCCAGCGCCGTGTCCAGTGAGGGTCTGTTACAAAGGCAGACGGTGGTCTGCTCAGACAGTTTGCCAACCCTGGCCTATGAAGTGCTAGTCCCGAACTAGACAGCAACACTGACTTTGGAAAACTGCGAGATGCCAGTTCTTGTCATCCTCTATGAAGCTCTAACCCGGTCGTCCTGGGAGGCTGGAAGACAGGGGTCAATTTCCTAGAAGGATCCCCACACGTACTCCCCACCCACCTTCTTCTGATTCAGAAGCCCTCCCAAGGGCCTCACGTGCCCCCCGACCCCCGACAAGACCATGAGCTTGTGGAAGGCAGGACTGCCCCATACATCTCTGCATCCCAGCACCCAGCACAGGGCCCGGCAGGGAACAGGAGCACAATAAAATGCTTTGCTGACCGAGGAGGAAGTGACCGGATGGTTGAATAAGTGAACAGTAAGTCATGGCTACCAAAAGCATTGCAGGCAACAGGGGATTGCGGAGGAAGCCGGCTGAGGGCCAGAGAGGTGGGCAGAGCAGCTCCCAGAGGTGGGTGGGACTTGGGCCCAAGGAGGAGGGCAGGGCTGCAAACCTACACATCCCACCTGCCATGTGGAAGGCCTGTGAGTGGGGCAGAAACAGCCCCCAGCACTGATGACCAGCTGTCTGGAGACAGACCGATGGGCCTGAAGTTTAGGCCACAGCAGAAGGCGGGGACAAGGGCTGGTTGGGGTGACTCAAGTGGTAGAGTACCTGCCTAGCAAGTATGAGGCCCGTGTTCAAACCCCAGTGCTGCCAAGAAAAGAAAAGAAAAGAAGGTAGAACAGAAGCAGCCTGGGGTGCTGAGGAGCCTACCCCCAACCCTCCTGGGACAAGGTGGCAGCAGAACTGATACTGGGATTCTAGAAGGATCATTCATTCATTCATTCATTCACCCATGGGATATTTACCAAGCGCTCGCTGTGCGCTAGGCACTATTGTCCATACGGGAGCTCTCAGGGCAAGTCCTTCACGAAGGTTGCAGCCTAGTGAAGGAAAAAAGCAATAAGCAATGTCCACACCCCCGACTCAGTCTCAGCTCTGGGAAAGTTGAGAGTGGCAGCGGATGGGGCAAGGACGAAGGAGGGGGTCACTCAAATAAGGCGGCCATGACAGCTTACTGAATGAAGAAAGGGAAGGTGGTGAGAGAGTTTCCGAGGAAGAGAGTACCTGAAGGAGGGTAAGCAGGAAGAACGCGGCACGTTTGAGGATCAAAGAGGAGGCTGCACTGCACACAGCCTGAGGTTGGAGCTGCAGATGAGTCTCAGCTTGGGGAAGAAATCAGGTCGCCTAAGAGTAATAGGTAGCTTTTCCAATTGGAAAGGGCAGCTGGTACTGCGTTTGTTGGGGCAGGGGGATGATAATAGCGATAAAGGTGGCAGGGAGGCCGGGTGGGCTGCTGCAGCCATCCAAGTGACAAGAGGAGGCAGCATGGATCAGAGCACGGGCAGGGGCCATGGGAGCAAGGTAGGACTGATAGAGCAGAGGTGGCTGTGGTCAGGGCACTGCTGGCAGAGGGCACAGCTCTGGGTTCCAGAGGGCAGTAGAGGGCTGTGAGGAGAATGGGACGGGGTCTGGAAGGACAGGGATCCAGAGAGTAGAACGGGCTCCGTCACAAGAATCCCCAGAGCCATGACTTCCCAGACCAGGCAGCTGCACTTTGGTCCTTCCCCATGCAGCCTGTCTTGGACACAGATGGGCAGCAGACAGGCAAGGTAAGCTCCAGAAACAGCTGGAGCTCTTGCAGTTCCGGGCGCCGGTGGGGGGAGGGGCAGCCCCGCTGGACTCTGTTTGGACTCTGTTTCCCCTAAGGGAAGGATAGGACCTACACCAACCCTTACTCACAGCACCCAGCCCAGGGCCTGGTGGGGGCATCCGCCTTCTGGAATGGACCAAAGCTGAAGGTGTACAGGTCACTGTTCTCCAGGGACCTGGGTCCTTGGATTAGCATCCTGGCTCTCAGGAGGGACGTGCAAGTCTGAGCTATCCAAGGGCAAGGCCCATTCTGGCAGCCAGTAGACCTACATTCAAGTGTCATCTCGATCCATGATCTGCCTGTGCCTCACCTACTCTCCTCAGCTGCCAAAAGGGACATCACCTACCAAAGAGGACCCCCGTGAGAATAAGGGAGACTCAGACCGGGGGCCTGGTACAGTGTCTAGGAAACATGCTTCTCCTACCACCCCCACCCTAGGCTTTGGAAACAGATTATATTTATTTTTTTAAAAAGAGCGATGGTGAGCTGGTGGAGTGGCTCAAGGGGTAGAGTGCCTGCCTCACTGAGGCCCTGAGTTCAAACCCCAGTACTGCCAAAAATCTATGGCTTATGCCTGTAATCCTAACTACTCTGAAGGTAAAGATCAGGAGGACCTCAGTCCAAAGCCAGTCCAGACAAAAATTTCACGAAACACCATCTCAACTAATAGCTCAGCAGGGTAGCATGCAGCTGTCATCCCAGCTACTTGGGAAGCATATATTGGAGAATCCCAGTCCAGGCAAAGCTCGGCATAAACTCGAGACCCTATCTGAAGAAAAGTAACTAAAGCAAAAAGGGCTGGGGGCGTGGGTCAAGCACTAGACCACCTGGGCCCTGAGTTCAAGCCCCAGTACCATGCACACACTTAAAAACTTCTGCAGGAATTCACAAGTGTTCATTCATTCACTCATTCATTAAGCATATGTTCTTTGAGCCAGTACTGTTTCAGGAGATGGGGACTGAAAAAGAGGAGAGAAGAAGAAAGATCAAATCATGCTCTAATTAAAGGAGAAAGACAATAAATAAATAAATAAATAAATAAATAAATAAGCAAGCAAACACAGGTGTGCAGAGTGCAACGGTGAAAAGAAGCAGGGCCAGAAGGCAGGTGGAGATGGCCATTTTTATGTAGGACAACCAGGGAAGGCTCTCTAGGAGTTCGTGCCATTTGGGGTGGAATGGTTTCTGTTCCTTCTCCACAAATTAGAAATTCTGTGACTGGGCAGGGTTATAGGATTCAGGATAGGGATGGAGGTGGGAGGAGGGGGAAGGAACTGTCAAGCCATTCTTTTCCTTCCCCAAAAGCAGGGCCCAATTCATGCAGAATATGTGCTGGAGGCATTGGGCCCATTTTCCAGGTTCCCAAGTGGCTCCGAGTTGTTTCTTCCCAGGGAAGCAGAGGCGTGGGCTGGTTGAGGCACATTCGTGCTCTGTCCCTTC